AAGGTTGAAGCGTTGATCTTATATGGAAATATACCCAGAATACGGCACAACATGAAACAGGGATACATCAGGGATTGAAAGTCCTTGGCGTGGAATAGTCGGCATCCTTTTTCTTTTTGTTTGCCTTTTGGTTTTCCTTGGAAATTCGATGATAAATTGAACATGCTTATAATTTATAAGTTCAACAACTTATAAATTATTATTCACGTTATTGACACCGTGATATTAAATAATATAAATATGATTGCGACAGATTTTTTTTCAATCAGTGATAGTTTTTGCGTACTATATCTGTCTTTCCACGTGCAAAAATAATTAATATGGACTCGATGTACACCCGGCGAATTTAAGTTTAACACTGCGCATAATTGTCATCTTGGCATATAATATACAATGACACGAAACACAGGATACTTTGTTAGGCGTGATGTAACCATGGCGTTCTTCGATCGGCAACTGCCATCTCTGTATAAAAAAATTATATATAATTGTTGTGACAGATGACTCATCAAATCATGCATACACATGGAACCGGCAGTATTCTGCGTATGTCACTCTCAATCAGTGGATTGCTAGAAATGCTAGTATAGCTTTCAAAGATTCAATTAGGATAATGATGACATATTTCTTTATTACTATACCTATTTTTTTCTAAAGTTATGCTTATATTTTGCACAAAATATTTGACATCACATAACTTTTGAATTAATATTCCTAATTATTATAAATATATATATATAAGATATATATAAAATAATATTTTTTATATTTTTAATATTAAAAATTATGATTATATTAATGCATTCTAGAGCACAATAAATTCTTACGACGCACCTGATTGTCGATGATTTTCTGCAACATTATAGAGAACAACTACAAAATTACAGTACTGACAGAACCATTATACAGAATATACATTTACACAAGAAATGCGAAAATGAGTAACTACATATTATATCCAATGTCTGATTATATACATATAGGGAAATGCAGGAAAGAATAATATTTGTTTGTTGATAATGTAGTTATTTTTTTATCTTTTTTTGAAATAAATTGTATTTCTAATATTAATTTCTAATATTAATATCGATTACTTTATCTTGGAAAATAAGATTTATCTTGGAAAATGATTTAACTTGTTAAGTGCATCGGTGTTAGGATAAAATTGGTAATGCCATTTTCGAATTTTTTAAATTGTCATTTATTCTCTTGAAACAGGCCTTAATATATAAACACATGTTACAATTTTTTATGACAGCAAATTCCATTTGTGCAACGCATAAATTTATATCTTATTATATCTTAAACAGTGCATTTGAACAAATATAATATTGAAATTTTATTTATGTAATATGACTATTATACATGCGCGAAGCGCGCGCGCGCGCGTATGTTTGTGCGTGTGTGCATGTATTAAACCTTAAGTATTTATAAGTATTTATTTTTAATATTTAAAAATGTTTTTTACATTTTATTTATCTACTTTAATTGGATTGTGTAACATTGATTGCTATCTTTCTATCGCAGGAATGCGATGCGTTTAAGAATTGCATTAAGATCAATAAGTACGTAGTGATGTTACCTACTATCTGAAAGCAAAATCAAACTAATGAATTCACATTTATTTAATAAAGGCATATGGGTCAATTACTCACCGCAACAAGAAGCGTCGCGTCCACAGTAAGACCCTTCGCAGAGAATGTACTTTTGCTATGCAGCATTTGCAAGGAAAATAGCTGCAACTGCAACATCCAATCGCAAAATATTTGAATACAGAATTGAGAACGTGATTATATATGTATTTAACACGTTAAACACTGTTTTAACACATGAAATATGCTTATAAAAAGTATACGAATTAGATTACACTTTTCATTACCTCGTCTTTGATTTGCTTATTGTCGGTGCAGTTCAGCACATCGTGTACAGTCGTGATAATTTCTGAGGCCTGATTCTTACCGGTCTCACAGGCCCATACTATCAATATCATCTTTGTGATAAAAATTGTCAAGTTTGCGACGAAGTACGCATAATAGAACTGCTTTTCCATAAGGATTATTAACACACCCTCTTTCCACTGCAGTACATAGTAATACATGTTAAATGTGATCTCGATAAAAGCCATAATTATGGTAGATAAGAGCTGCAAGCTGAAGATTATATTCAGCATCTGCACTGCATTGTTGACTATTAGATGCTGCTTCTTCAAAGCTCTGAGTTCCATCAGCAGGAATGGATTTCTCTGCTCGTGATAGATCGGTTTGACGAGATGTGTCTCATCGTTCACGATAAGTTTTTGCAAATCTATCAAATTGTCATTTATTCTCTTGAAACAGGCCTTTAATATACAGACACAATTTATATATAACATATCCATTTGAAATATCATTAAATTGATGTAAATTACGTAAAACCTTAACAAGACATTGAGACTCATTCTAGTATAATATACAATCGAGATCCCAATTAAATAAAAGAAACCAATAATATCCTTCGAGTGAATTAACCGAGATAGCTTTCGATACGATTCCAAGGGCAGCGTCGACGAGATGTCCAATACGGTTTGAAGCAAACGCATTCGTGGGCCACTCAAAATGTACGAGACAACTGCTATGAAATTGCCGAGCGTGTAGTAACTACTACGCTCGAGATTTCTGGGTACGTTTCTCATGTTGATACTTCCAGAAATGTTCATCTGATACAGCATAACCAGCCAGCAAATACAACAAACGCAGGTAATGATGGTCCACAGACTGAAAAGCGGTTTGTAGATCTCTAAGGTCGAAGTGTTGATCTTGTACGGAAATATTCCAAGAATACGGCAGAAAATGAAGCAGGGATGCATCAAAGATTGAAAGTCCGTAGCGTGAAACAATCGCCATCGTTTCCGTATTTTACTCTTGGCTTGTCTTTGGAATTTCGACAAGGGGCTGAACATCATCTTTCGATTATTATGGAGAATCACTCTCTCTCTCTCTCTCTCAATCTAACATAAGTCGTTAATTATACAGTTTAAAAATTAATTCCGTTATCAATGCACTTTAGTGAATGTGATCTGCGAGTGCTTCTTTTTTAAGTACATAAACTTTAAATTTATCTTTCTGCAACGAATGCGCTATGTACTCCTCATTGCCGATTTACACCTGGCGAGTTTAAGCTTAAAACTGCGAATTGCTACATTGAATAATGGGATAAAAGACTCAGAGTTATTTGTTAGTTGTGAAGTAACCATGACGTTCTCCGATTGTCATTTGTCACCCTTTGAGCGCAATGTATATATCACTATATCACTATATAATGCAATAATATATAATTATTGTGACATATCAACAATATGTCAACTCTTGTATGCATACACAAAAGAAGGAGTTCACACTTTACATTTATATACGCAGATCAGTAATTCGTAAAAATACATTAATAACAATTCTAATAATGATTAAATTCCATTTAATCATTGTGCACATTCCATTCTCCATATTCTATACGGTACAAATATTATACATAGAGAATTTTTGCAGGATGTTTTTTGTATTACAATTCGATACTTAAAATTTGTAACTTTTTATATATTTTATCATAATTTTTAATGTAAAAATATTCATTGACACTTTTATCTCGATTAAAATACATTGTGATCAATATTTATTTTATGAACTTTATGCAGTTTATTGTAATTATAAGTTATTCTTGTAAGTTTACTAAAATAACAAATTAAATTTAATTCTTCTTTTATATTGTAAAGTATTACTAAATTGCATTCCTTGTGGTTTGAGAAATGACATCCATCTAGAAAGCATATATGCTCTTAACAAATGTAATATTAATAAATTGAAATTAGAATGCAAGGACAGTGCTATTATATCGATTAGGATTAATCCAACTACTTATCTAGATTAAAACTAATCGACGTACTCTCTTTAGTGAAAATTTTAACATGTAGTAATCTATAGACTATATGTGCAAGATAGCTGATCTTTTTTATTTCAGTAGCAACAAAAGAACGCGATGGCAAAAGGTAAAAATGTTATAACGATAATTCACACACACACATCAATCACATTATATTTCAATGAAATTTCATTTAATCATTGTTAATAAATAGAGCTTAAAATACAAAGAAATATTTAACAAACTGTTCTTAAATTAATTTTTTAATTATAAAACAAATTTTAAATAAACAGAATAATAAATTTCTTTCGCCAGTATATAGAATAACAATTAAAGTAATTTAAATCGACTGGCAATTATATAAATTTTAAATAAGTTTTCTTTTTTATTACTGAAAAAGATAAAAGTAAAATAAATCTGAATTAATCTAACAATAAGTACTAGATAGGATTAATTACACATACAAAAATATCTTTAATAAATTATAAACTTAAGTTGTCACATTAGTAAGACATTAAGACATATGATGTCATTGCATTAATCGCTAAATTAATTGCATTTATCGTTAAATTTCCACTAATCGCCAAGGGCATTGATGAAACAAAAACATATATATATATATACATTGTGTACGTACATGTATAATACATATACGTACACAAAAAATACTAAAAAGTACTAAAAAGAACTAAAAAGAATATGTTTAATATTTAAAAATATTTTTTTTTATTTATTTATATATTTTCTTTTAATTACATTGTTTATGCAACAGTATTTGCTATCTTTTTCACTTCAAATCTGCTCAGCAACTAAGAATTGTATCAAAATCAATAGATACGTAGTAATGTTACCCACTATCTAAAATAAAAATCATATAAGTAATATACAATATATAAAACAAATAATCGTTCACTCACCGCAACGAGAAGCGTTGAATCTATTGTAAGACCTTTGGCGGAAAATGTATTATCGCGATGTAATACTTGCAAGGAAAACAGCTGCAACTGGAAAACATCAGATTATAAAATAGTTGTGTAAATATAGAACTAGGCAATGATTACTAAATTAAATTTAATCTATAAAAATTTTCATTAACACAGAGACTAAGAGATTATCACAAAAATGTGCAAATAAAATGTTCTTTTTTATTTACCTCGTCTTTGATTTGCTTATCAATAGTGCTGTTAAGTATTTCGTGAATGGTAGTACCGATCCTCGTGGCTTGATCTTTGCCTGTATCACAAGCCCATCCAATCAACACTATTTTTATACTATAATATATTATAGATAATACCAATGCTGTATCGTATAATTCAGGATTTAGATTGCTCAGTAATGTGCCAACTTTCCAATGCAGTATATAGAAATACAGTAGAAAAGTGATTTCGGCAAAAGTCATAACTATAGTTGTGAGGATCTGTAGACTGAAAATCATGTTCAATATTTGCACGGTGTCGCTAACTACCAAATGATGTTTTTTCAAAGCTTTAAGTTCCAGCAGCAGGAATGGATTCTGATTTCTGTGCTCGTGATAAATGTGCCTCACAAGTTGTGGCTCATCGTTCACCACGAGCTCCCTCAATTTCGATAGATTATCGTTGATTTCCTTAAAACAGGCCTTTAATATACAAACACAATTCATATATAGCATATCCATCTGAAACGCCAGCAGAGTAATGTACGGTACAAAAGCCTTATGCCAAGTATCGAAATCCAACGTGGAGTAATAGAATATCGCGTGCGTGACTAGAAAGGAGAAACCGACGATATCCTTAGTGTGAATCAGTCTAGAAAGTTTTTGATACGAATTAAGTGGTAGTTTCGAAGAGACATTCATTATGGTCTGGAGCAAGTGCATTCGAGGACCGCTCAAAATGTATGTAACGATCGCAATAAAGCTACTGAGTATGTAAAAGCAGTTGCGTTCGAGAGTCTTAGGTACACCTTTGAATCTGATCGTTCCGGCAATGTCAATCTCATAGAGCACTATTAACTCGTAAATGCAGAGAATACAGAGAATGGCGGTTGATAGAATGTAACGCTGTTTGGAAGTCTCGAAGGTCGAGCCGTTGATTTTGTACGGAAATATTCCGAGGACACTGCAGAAGGTGAAGCACGGATACATCAACGATTGAAAGTCCGTAGCGTGGAACAGCTGCCACTTCTTCCATATTTTATATTTGGCATGTCCTTGAAATTTTGTTGATGAACTGGACATTATCAGCGAAATATGAATACGACGATTTATACCATAGATCACACTGTCCAGAAATAATAGACCATTATACTTTAGTGCAAGTTTTTGGAGTGTAGCCTTTAAGTTCTGTTTAACAAATGCATCAACTGACATAAGACTTTTCGTTGATCTACACTCAGAGAGTTTCAGTTTAAAACTGCGAAGAGCTCCTGCGTTAAAACATTGGCATTATTTGTTGGTAATAAGTAACCATGGTGCTCTTCGATCGACAATTATTACGTTTTCTTTATAATGGTACAAGCAATTAACATAATGTCTTTTAAGGCGAACGTGTATAAATCATATTAAGTGAGTTATAACTGTTACGATAACAATCAAATAAATAGAAAATATGTTAGCGCATTACGGTCATGACTCACTTAATATCACGTTTGTCTTAAAAGACATTCTCTATAATATTTATAATTTATTGTGATAAATATCTTCACATGACGTCGTCAGTGGTCGAACTGGTAAAGACGTGAGTCCCGGATACTAGGTCCAGGTTCGAATCCTGGTTGGTGTTATATTTTTCGCAACATATTCTCTAAAGATGCGTATTAATACTAGTGTTATTAAATTGATTATCAATTTAATTATGCGATTGTAGCTTCAACTTCAGACTGCGTTTCTAGATAGACAGTAGACCGCGTGTGATTTGCGAAGCGAAAAATGTTTATAAATTTACGCGAAAAATATTATTAGGTACAACAAATCCAGCTTGACCGTACATTGGCACATTTTCTAAAAACTTGTTAGTCATTTTAATAAATTTGCAATTAGAAATTTATTATTAGCAATTATTAAAATTAAGAAAATAATATTAAGAAGGCATACAAATAAAACAGGTAATGTTATATATATTGTATATATAAAAACATTGTAGTTATAGCCATTAACATTATGTGGTTATACTCTACTACAATATTCTAGTAAAAGAGATAATAGTTTTACTACTAAATAAAATAGATATTTACTCATTCCATATTATACATTCTTTTATTTCACTGAATTATTTCTGTAACATTTGTGGCGATTTCTTTAGCGCAAAAATGTTTCATGTTTAAAAATTGTATCAAGATTAATAAATATGTGCTGATGTTACCCACCATCTAAAAAGAAAATCAAGAAGATTAATTAATTTTTTTTAATACTTATAAACATATGATCGATAACTTACCGCAGTGAGAAGACTTGCGTCTACAGTAAGACCCATCGCGGAGAATATATTTTTGCGATGAAGAATTTGCAAGGAAAACAATTGCAACTGCAACGTCAGATCGTAAATTATTTAATAACAGAATTGCAAGATATAAATTTAGATAAATTTAGATTTATGTATAAAACTTGCATTAGCATACACATTTAAAAATTGTACAAATTAAATTACATATTTTATTACCTCGCTTTTGATTTCATTATCGCCGGTGCTGTTAAACGCGTCGTGAACAGTGGTGCCGATCTGCAAAGCCTGATTCTTGGTGGATTCACAGGCCCATACTATCATCATTATTTTTGTAAAGTGATACGTTATGAATATTATCATCATCATTTCATAGATATCATCGTCTAACATGATTACGGATATGTCCTTTAGCCAATACACTATACGAAAATAGAGTTGAAAAGTGATTTCGATGAAAGTTAGAATTATGGTAACGAGCAGTTGCAAACTGAAAATCATATTCATCCTCTGCACTGCGTCACTAATCATTCGATGCTGCTTTTCCAAGGCCTTTAGTTTAATTAACAAGACTGGACTTCTTTGTTTGTAGTGCATCCGATCGAGATGATACACCTCATCATTTATCATGTGGTCCCGTATATGCTCCAGATTATCATTTATTTGCTTGAAACAAGCTTTTAGTACACAAACACAATTCATATACATCATATCCATGTGAAATACTACCAGGACAACGTATGCTACGAAAAGCTTGAGTATAATGTGGATATTTGTCGTGAAATATATCGATATTTGTATAACTAGAAATAAGGAACCTAAGGTATCCTTGGCGTGGATTAGTCTGGATAGCTTCTGGTATGACTCCGGAGGCAATTTCCAAGAGATTTCCATTATGGATTGGAGCAAACGCATTCGTGGACCACTTAAAATGTACGTGACGACCGCTGCAAAACCACTGAGTATGTAATAGCAATTACGCTCGAGAGTCCTGGGTACACCCGTCGACTTCGGGATTCCACAAATGTCCATCATATAGAGACTGCTCAGTAAGCCAATAAAACAAACACACATAACGACGGTCGAAATAATGTAACGTGGTTTCGAAATTCCGAAGGCCGAAGCATTGATCTTATACGGGAATATTCCAAGGATGTAGCAAAAGGTAAATGAGGGATACATCAACGATTCGAAATCCGTGGCGTGGAACAATCTTTTCCACATTTTGGCATTGGCTCCTTTTTGTAATTTCGACAACAAGCTGAACATAATTAATGGAGATGAGTCGTTGAAAAAGCCTAATAATTATCAATTATTTCAGATGCACTTTATCACCAAAAAAAATATAATTGAGATAGCTTTATTCATGGTATGGCTTTGTTTTTTTATAACAAGTATGTATATTAGCATAAACTCTTCAGTGTCGATCTATTCGTACCGAATTTAAATTTAAAACTGCGAGAGTGTCAAATGCTAAAGACTCAAAAGGTCACTTATTGTTAGTCATGAAGTAACCATGGCGTTCTTCGATCGACATTTGTCACCATTAGGACGCAGAACATAAAGAAATTATGTGTATTATTATGGCACATGAATCATGCGTGCGTAATGAAGTATGAAACATAGACTGCATACTATCCACGGGTGTCTTAAGGATCCATTAGTAATAATCAATCATTTTTAAACTCTACATTTTTATTGTATATGCATGATATAAAGTTCAGTTTGTACACACTTATATGAATATACATATTTTTACAGCGTTAAAACATGGGAGTATCTCAATTTAATAATATAATAATAATTAATAATACATTTATTACGTAATAATAACAATAATTTAATAGTATATTTATTTTAATAATTAATATTTTAAAATTAAATTATCTGTGTGACATTATTTACTATATTTCCATTGCAAGTATGTGAGGTAATTAAGAATTGTATTAAGATCAGTAGATACGTAGTTATGTTACTCACTATCTAAAATCGGAATTATGAAAGTATACAATACGCATATAATTAATTAAAAATCAAGTAATTGCTTATGCACTTACTGCAGTGAGAAGAGTAGCATCCACAATGAGACCTTTCGCGGCAAACGCATTTTCGCAGTCCAGTATTTGCAAGGAAAACAGCTGCAACTGCAAAACATAAGATTATATAATTTAGTTTGAAAAAATTCAAGATAATAAAACCATTATTAACTTTAAATTTTACATATAAAACGTTACATTAATGAACGAAATATCTTTACACAAACATGGATATAAAATTTTATTTTTTTAATTACCTCGTCTTTGATTTGTTCATCTGAAGAATTATTAAGCAAATTGTGAACGGTCATGCCGATCTTCATGGCCTGGTCTTTACCGGTCTCACAGGCCCATACTATCAACGTTATTTTTACAGCGTAATACGTTATAGTCATTATTGAAAACAGATCGTGAATCAGATCGCCCAGATCGTTCATTATCATGCCAGTTTTCCAATGTACTATGTAGAAGTACAGTTGAAAAGTAAGCTCGGCAAAAGTCATAATTATAGTAGCCAGGAGCTGCAAACTGAAAATCATGTTTAGCATTTGTACTGCGTCGCTGATCGTCAGATGCTGCTTCTTTAAAGCTTTGAGTTCCATTAACAGGGATGGATTTTTATGCTTATGATAGATCCGCCACAAAAGATGAGGCTCATCGTTTACGACGAGCTCCCGCAGATTTATCAGATTGTCGTCGATTCTCTTGAAACAGGTCTTTAATATGCAAACCAAATTCATATATAACATATCCATTTGAAACACCAGCACAAAAATATACGGTACAAGAAATTTGTACCAGCTATCAAAATTTAAGTTAGAATAATAATACACCGTTATCGTAACTAGAAAGAAGAAACTTAAAATGTCCTTGGTGTGGATCAGTCTAGATAGTTTTTGATATGAATTGAGGGGCAGTTTTGAAGAGACATTTATTATGGTTTGAAGCAAATGCATTCGAGTACCGCTCGAAATATATGTAACAATCACGATAAAAATACCGAGTACGTGAAAGCAGTTACTCTCGAGAGTCTTAGGCATGTCTCTGAATTTTATTGCTCCAGCAATATTAATCATATAGAGCACTACTAGTTCGTAAATACAGAAGACACAAAGAACGACGGTCGGCAGAATGTAGCGCTGTTTTGAAGTTTCGATGATCGAAGCGTTAATCCTATACGGAAATGTTCCGAGAACGTTGCAGAAGACGAAGCAGGGATACATTAACGATTGAAAGTCCGTAGCGTAAAAGAGCTGCCATTTTTTCCACATTTTGCACTTGGCGCGTCTTTGGAACTTCAGTGGCGGATTAATCAATTTATTAATAAGGCAACATATGTATATGCATATAACATTCTACTACATTATATTGTTGAAAAATTATTAATCGCACTTTAGCATTAACATGAACTTCAGTACGAGAACTTTTTCTGAGTATAGCAATAGGTTTCTAATTAATTTGTTTAAAATGAAATGGATTTCGTCGATCTACACCCGACGAGTTTCAGTTTAAAACTGCAAACTAATGCTTCATCTGCATCATAACACTTAACAAGTCAGTTGTTGGTCGCAAAGTAACCATGGTGCTCTTCGATCGACAATTATTTATTTATTATGTCTCGTAGGTATATACAATTAAAAGCTTATATATACACATATTTTTGTAACGTTAAAACATGAACAATATTTTACTTAATAATATAATAATAATAATTAATAATATATTTATTGCGTAATAATAATAATTCAATAATATATTAATTTAATTAATTAATATTTTTGTAATTAAATTATTTGTGTGCCATTATCTACTATTTTTCCATTGCAAGTATGTGAGGTAATTAAGAATTGTATTAAGATCAGCAGATATGTAGTTATGTTACCCACTATCTAAAATCAGAATTATGAAAGTAAACAATACGCATATAATTAATTAAGAATCAAGTAATTGCTCACTTACTGCGGTGAGAAGAGTAGCATCCACAATGAGACCTTTTGCGGAGAATGCATTTTCGCGGTGCAGTACTTGCAAGGAAAACATCTGCAACTGCAATACGTAAGATTATGACATTATTAAATAAGTTGTAAAACTTTATTAACGCTGCTAGATTTTATGTATAAAAAGGTGTAATAACAAATAGAAAATCTTCACACACAAACAAACAGAAATAACATTTTATTATTTTAATTACTTCGTCTCTGATTTGGTCATCTGAAGTATTGTTCAGCAGATCATGAACGGTGATGCTGATCTTCATGGCCTGGTCTTTACCGGTCTCACAGGCCCATACGATCAACATTATTTTTATAGAATAATATGTCATAGACACCATCAAATACACATCATAAAGCGAGTCACTCAGATTACTCATTAACATGCCAATTTTCCAATGCATAATGAAGAAGTACAGTTGGAAGGTGAGCTCGGCAAAAGTCATAATTATAGTAGCCAGAAGCTGCAAACTGAAAATCATGTTTAGCATTTGTACTGCGTCGCTGACCGCCAGATGCTGCTTCTTTAAAGCCTTGAGCTCCATTAGTAGGAATGGATTTCTATGCTCGTGATAGATTCGCCTCAGGAGGTGCGGCTCATCGTTCACCACGAGCTCTCGCAGATCTTTCAAATTGTCGTCGATTTTTTTGAAACAGGCCTTTAACCCTTCGCCCGTAAACTGGGTCATAAATGGCACAAGCCGAAA